CAGATTTTTTATGTTTTTTCTTTTTACCATGCTTTTAAGAAAAACTACTGATTGCTCAATATTTAGTCTGTATTTTATGTTTTATGTGTGTCTGTAAATCGAGGAATGTTTGCCTCACTCTAAAATGAACATTAATTCTAGTATCATGCTTATGAAAGGTTATAATAATTTGGGGAATGCATTTGGAATAATGTAAAGTCTGGATGAGAAAGAAGGCAAAAAGGTTGCTCAAATGCTTTGCTTTGGTATTGATAGGGTAGGAGTCCTCATGGCATAGTGGTTACTCATTGGGCTGCTAACTGAAAAGTCGGCAGTTTGAAGCCACCAGCCGCTCTCCACAAGAAAGGCAAAGCTTTTTGCTCCTCTAAGGAGTTACAGTCTCTCCGTACCCTCTCTTGTAGGGGCACTATGAGTCGCCATCAACTGGATCAGTGGCAGTGAGAGAGTGTTTCTGTTTGTTTCCTGGGGAGGTGACCTACCGTATTCAGTTGAAATTCTATTATATCATTGAATTGCCTTCTCTCACTTCTTAACTTTTAGATCTTCTTAATATATGACTTCCAGCTTATCTTACTTCACAATCTGATAAAAAATGCTTCAGGGAGTTTTACTTGCTTTCTTCTGTGGCAACCTTCTTATTAAACTTTTTCTCTTCCATTAAGATTCCTCAATGGTCTATGACTCTGTTTAGTTTTGTTTACTTACTTAGTTTCCCTGCCTTTTGTTTCCCAGCACTTTTATCCTTTGAAAAGAGCTCTGATGATACTGCAGGTTAAGCGCTGGACTGTTAACCACAAGGCCAGTGATTCAAACCAACCAATTGCTCTTTGGGAGAAAGATGAGAGGTTGTGTGCGCCTATAAAGATTTACAAGTCACTGAAACCCTACATAGGGTCAGTGTGTGTATGTGTGTGTGTGTGTACATTCATAAGTAAAATGGGATATATATACAGACACATTTCATATTTAGAAATACAACTTGGACAAGTATGCTCCCTGTACCCCCAGGGTTCCCCACTGCCACCCTCCATGCCAGCTTAAGAGTAAAGTCCGAAATAGTGAGAGTCATAACAATAAATCCTCTGAAGATCATGATTTCATTTTGGGAGCAAGTAGCAATAACAAAAACAAACTCACTGCTATAAAGTCAGTTAGAGCCCTAAACATTTAGCTATTACACGCATTTGTTATTTAGTCACACAGGTTTCTGAAAAACCATTACGCTTTAAGTTAAAAGTTAAATTGCATTTATTACCCTAGACACTAGACATGCGGAATTTAAGATGAGGAAGAGTAAGAAAGACACTCCATCAGCAATGAATGAGGGTTTGGATATCTACACATATGATGGAAACAATGACATTGAAGGCAGAAGTCCAAGCTGTGCTGATGGCCTTTGCAAAAACACCGAACTTCAGTCATTACTGGACTACCAAGTAAAATGGTTTGACACACTGATGCAGCACTGGAAGTACTCACTAGTCAATGCCAAATAATTTGGAAGATAGCTATCTGGCCGACTAACCTAAAAAGATGTGCATTTATACTTATTTCAAAGACAGGTGACCCAGTAGGATGCTGAAATGATCAACTATATCATTAATATCACATACAAGTACATTTTTGCTGAAGATAACGTAAAACACATGTAGCAGTACTGACAAGAAGCTGTCAGAAATTCAGACCAAATTCAAGAGAGGATTTGGAACACGAGATAGCATTGGTGACTTCAAATAGAAGTTGGCTGAAAATAGAGAATGCCAGCAAGATGTTTACTTGTGTTTTATTCACTATGCAAAGAGATCCGACTGTGTGACTCATGCATAACAAGCTATGGACAACATTGCAAGGAATGGGAGTTCTAGAACACTTCGTTGTGCTCATGCATAACCTATACTTAGACAAGAGGCAGTCATTCCAATAGAACAAGTGAATAGTGCATGGTTTTAAAGCAAGAAAGGTGTGTGTCAGGGTTTTACTTTTCCACTATACATATTCAATCTGTATGCCGAGCAAATAATCGGCGAAAGTGGACTACAAAAAGGAAAAATGTGGCCTCAAGATTGGAGAAAGATTTATTAATCAATCTGTAATATGCAGCTGACACAACCTTGCTTGCTGAAAGTGAGGAGGACTTGAAGCACTTGCTGATGAAGATCAAGGATTGTAACCTTCAATATTGGGTTGAAACTCAATGTAAAGAAAACCCAACTGCCCCAGTAGATAGCATCATAATAAATGGAGGAAAAATTGAAGTAAAAAATATCATCTTGGATCCACCATCAACTCTTAAGGAAGCAGCAGTCGAGAGATCAAAGGGCAAATCTGTTGCACAGAACCTGTTTACAGTGTTGAAGAACAGACATGTCACTTTGAAGACTGAGATGCGCCTGACCCAAGCCAGGGTATTTTCAGTGGCCTCAATATGCACGTGAAAGTTGGGAGAGTTGAGTAAAGAAGACTGACGAGAAGTTGACTATACCACAGACTGCCCGAGGAGCACACACAGTCTGCCTTGGAGGAAGTGCAGCCAGGATGCTCGTGGAAGTGATGACACTGAGACAGTCTCACATACTTTGGACATGCTAGGAGGAGGGACCAGGCCCTGGAAAAAGATCTCATGTTTGGTAAATGAGCGGGTCAGTGAAAAAGAGGAAGATACTCAACATTATGTATTTAAGTAGTGACTGCAACAATGTGTTCGAAGGTAACAATTAGGAGGATCACGCAGCTGTTTTACCTAGGGTTACTCTGAATGGGAACCGACTCTTGTGGTGCAGTGGTTACAGCACTCTGCTGTTAACTAAATTTTCAAAACTCATTTGATTGGGGGCTCATACAATTCTTATCACAATGCATACACCATCCATTGTATGTCAAGCCTATTTGTGCATCTGTTGCCCTCATCATTCTCAAAACATTTGCTTTCCACCTGAGCCCCAGGTATCAGCTCCTCATTTTCCCCTCCCTCCCCGCTCCCTTCCCTCACGAACCCTGATAATTTATAAATTATTATTATTTTGTCATATTTTATACTGTCCGACATCTCCCTTCACCCACTTTTCTGTTGTCCATCTCCCAGGGAGGAGGTTATATATAGATCCTTGTGATCTGTTCCCTCTTTCTACCCCACCTTCCCTCCACCCTCCCAGTATCGCCACTCTCAGCACTGGTCCTGAAGGGATCATCTGTCCTGGATTCCCTGTTTCCAGTTCCTATCTGTACCAGCGTACATCCTCTGGTCTAGCCGGATTTGTAATGTAGAATTGGGATCGTGATAGTTGGGTGGGGGAGGAAACATTTAAGAACTAGAGGAAAGTTGTTTGTTCCATCGTTGCTATACTGCACCCTGACTGGCTTGTCTCCTCCCTGCGGCCCTTCTGTAAGGGATGTCCAGTTCCCTACAGATGGGCTTTGGATCCCCAATCTGCACTCCCTGTCATTCACAGTGATAAGATTTTTTGTTCCTTAATGCCTGATAACCTGATCCCTTTGGCACCTCATGGTCACACAAGCTGGTGTGCTTCTTCCATGTGGGCTTTTTTGCTTCTGAGCTAGGTGACCGCCTGTTTACCTTCAAGCCTTTAAGACTCCAGATGCTATATCTTTAGATAGCTGGGCACCATCAACTTTCTTCACCACATTTGCTTTTGCACCCATTTGTCTTCAGCGATCATTATCGGGAAGGGTGGGCACCCACTGATATGATTTTTTTGTTCTTTGATGCTGCTGCTGCTGCTAACTAATTTGAACCCACCACCTAATCCACTCCATTAGGAAAAGATGTGGCAACCTGCTGTATGAAAATTTACAGTCTGAGAACCTTAAGGGGCAATTTTGTGTCCTATAGGACCAGTATGAGGTAGAATCAAAGTAACACTGGGTTTTATACATTATCCCCCGCATTTAGTGGGCTACACATTGGGCTTAAGCACACGCTCAGCAGTTTGAACTCAGGGGTCACTGCATGGAAGAAAGATAGCAACACCTGTAAGCCTCTACAGCCTTGGAAAAACTCTAAAAGGGTTACTTACTGTACATCAGAATCAGCTTGTCAGCAGTGGCTGTCAGGTTTCAATCCAGAGCCCCATCGTACTCAGTTTTAACTATGTGGATGCACTATGCTACTAAAATGAAATTAAGCATAAGGAAAAGATGCACATCATAGTTTCTCTTTTTAGATGGGGGAAAAGGGCTGTCTTTATTTCATATTGACTGTTCATGAATAAATAATGCCTTAGGGAGTGTTTCGGAGCATTAGATCCGTTTGGTTTCTGAGCAAAGATCAGCCTAATATGTATTCTGTGAAGCCTTTCTCAACATTGTGACGCAAGGGCAGACTCGGTGTTTCCTGGGTGGAACATAGCTGCTTCTGTCCACCTTCCATCTTGTTTCCAAATGTGTGGTGTTACTCTCATCACGAAACCTCTCCAATGTACATTTTCCTCAGCTATCAGATTCTAGGGAAGAAATAGGGTTGGTAACAGTAGTTCTCCATCTTACACTGCTATGATGATGACAGTTAAGTGAGAAGAGTCACTGAGTACTCTGTTTGACTTATAATAAATACTCATAAAAGCCAATTATTGCTATAAGATTCACATGGATACAAGCAAAGTTTATATGTGTATGTATGTATGTATGTATGTATGTATGTATATGAGGGGACTTATAAAAGTTCTTGGAAAAGAGGTGTTAAAAGACAAGAGAGTTTTTCCATGAACTTTTCAAACCCACCTCACAGTAGGATGTCCTGAGCTAGGTATCAACCACCAGAAGGAAAATTTGATGCCAGAGAGCCTCTTATTAACATTCCCCAGTGCCTATTGCTTTACCTGCTTCTAAGAAGCCATGCAAGGAATTAGTGAATGAATGTTGTAAGTTTCTTTTACAGAATATTTTAGCTCTAGAATTCTGATAATTAAAGAGCATGTGTGTTTGTGTATAAATATGTAGGAGTGGAGTTTTTACAAACTTAAAACGTTGTCTTTTAATTACAGGCATCGATCAGCAAGGTAAAAGTAACAGAACCATGGCTCAGTTTCCAACACCTTTTGGTGGTAAGTTAAAAAAATTCTTTCTTGATCAGTGTATTTTGAGAACATATTAAAAAAACAAAAAGCATGACAAATTTCAAATATTCACAGAAAAGTATAAACAACCCACAGGTCGCCATCTAGTTCCAATAATTACCAACTTATCCGCATTCTTCTGAAGCCATTCCCAATTATATAATTTCATCCCATAAATTAAGTGTGTTGAAAAAATAAGAACTGTTTTACAAGCCCAACTGCAATACCATTGTCACACCTGTAAACTTTTACAGTAACTATTTATTATTGCTAACTCTTTGGTCAGTATTGGTTTCCTTCATAGGTTTTAGACAACCTTTTTTGGTAGTGATGGGTTTGTTCAAATGAGAATCCGAGCAAGAGGCATACATTGCAATTAGTTGCTTGTCTCCAGGCTCCTAGTTGGTAAGCTCCTTCCTCCTCCACCCTTGTCTGTTCTTTGCAATTTATTTGTTGAGTTGACTGAGTCATTTAAATGACACATTTATCTAAAGTTTGGATTGGAAGCATGACTTCTAAGATGTTCAATAAATCTTTTCAAGCCATATCCACCTCAGTATAATGTGTTTCCCCAGGTAGTCTTTCCAAATATTATTAGGAAATTGTTAGCTTGTGTTCTTGCTGCATATTTTAAAGGAAGAGAGCATACCTTGTTGATGTATTACTCTTGGCAGCTGTCTAATCCAGTTATCACAAAGAGAGGAAGGTGGCCCGAAGCACCATTCTTTTCATTAAACCAGTGAAAGTCCCTGTGCAATTTTAGCACAGAAATGTGCAAACTCTTACCACTCGTTGGAGAGTTACACCATGTCACTCTATGTTTTGGATGTTTCCCTTTTAAATGATTGGACAATGTTTTACTCTGAGGTTTTTGGGGGGCTGTTGGTCATAATTCCAGGCAATAATCCCCCCAGGCCAATAAAACTACTCCTAGACGCTGCAGGACACTAAGCAAGTCCAGCAAAGGAAGAGATCATGTCTTGTTTCCATCACCAGCTTATTATCCCTTATGTCTAACCAAGTGTGTGGCCCGTACAAATCACTCCCTGAATATCGTTCACAAACTCTGATCATCCTTCAAGTACTATGGAAATAGTGTGCGTGTGTTTTGTTTTTTATTGTGTAATTCACCCTCTTTGTGTGTGTTTGTTTTGAATTGTAGGTAGCCTGGACATCTGGGCCATAACTGTAGAAGAAAGAGCAAAGCATGATCAACAATTCCACAGTTTAAAGCCAATATCTGGATTTATTACTGGTAATAATTGAAGTTAGCATGCTTATTTTGTTTTGTGGTGCAGATATCAGTAGTGCAGATATTTGTGGAAAATCTATGCAAAGCTGGGGTGGGCAGATAGGATGCAGGGGCCACGTTACCTGTCTTGTTTTTGCCTGGAGCCCGTGCTTTCCCAACTGTGCATTCCGACTGTTTACATTCCTTACTGCTATCCCGCCGCTTGCTTCAGGCACATCTCTGGTGGGAACTGGTGAAGATCAAAGGACGGACCACATTCTCGAAGCACTATAGAATTAGACTGTGGCCTTTGAACTGAAATAGTTACTGAATTCCTGGTTTTGAACTGGTTTGGGAAATGGTTAAATAAATGAGCACATTCTGAACCCCCTTTTTTAAAAAAAAAGTCTTTTTCCTATTGCTGTGTCCCCAAAATTCCCTTTGTACTTTGCCTTTTCTGTTATCTTTCCTGTTTGATTGCTCTTCAGGAATAAGCATGAGAACAAATAGGATATGGATTTCCTGAGGTTCTGGTTTTGTGTATATTTTGATCTCTCTCTTTAATTTGTTAACGCTTAAGCTCCACGGCTGTTGATGCTTTTTAATCGTTGTGACCCACCCAAAGTGCCTAGAAACTGAAATGTACATACATGTCGGGAATGGCAGCTTTCATAATTTCTACGAAGTAGAAGCAGTGAGTCCTCCATTTCCTGAGGTTCCCGCAGGACTTTGCCCTAATGGGAAGCTGTTAGCATCTGTATTGATAGCAGACTCAACAGGGACAGTTTGTCCCGGCAAATGGTTGGCCCTTTTTTGAGAGGACTTTTGACAGTTCCATCCTAAGTTGTGGCTGATGGGTTCATCGTACTTACAGACTGACCATTTGATTTTATCATGTATTCAATTCTGGATTTACAGGCTCCCAGTCTCTTGTTTTTGTGACTTTGGCTATGAGAGGATTTCTGTCAGCTGTTGTCTTCCTCTGAAACATTTTCCATTTAATTTGCAGGTGATCAAGCTAGAAACTTTTTTTTTCAATCTGGGTTACCGCAACCTGTTTTAGCACAGATATGGTAAGTTGGAATTTTATATGATCAGAAAGTTTAATAGAATATTTTCAATCCTATTTTGGAATATTATTCCTAGTAGTAGAGAGACACATATTTGTAGTTTCAAATACTGTATTATATCTTACCAGAGAATTGCTTCTAAAAAGTATCCTCTTAGTTTGGAACTTAGGAGCCCTGGCAGCACAGTGGTTAAGCTGCAGCTGCTAACTGAAAGGTGGACCAGTGTGATCCCACCAGCCACTCCATGGGAGAAAGAGGTGGCAGTGTGTTCTGTGAAGATTGCTGGTCTTGGGGATTGTGTAAGGCACTTCAGCTTTGTCTTATTAGGGTCCTTATGAATTGAAACTAACCACATTGGTTTGCTTTGGTTTAGTTTGGTTTTGCTTTAATAAGGAACTAAAACAAACAACAAAAATGTAGTGAAGTTTGAAAGATGGCACTATGTCCAAAAGTGACTTGAGAAATGTACATTTTTATATTTTCTCGCCACCAGTTTGTTTGTAGTTTTCCTGGGTTACCCAGACTCCTGGATCTCTCACAGGTTTTCCTTCATACTCGAATCCCCCTGGGTCTTTTAGTGATGAGAGAAGAAATAGCTGATATTGAGTACAATGTGGTACATGGTGAGTGCGTGATATTGCTGAATTATTTATCACAAAGGGGCAGTCAATCTTGTGCGGACACCGGGGCTAGAGAGAATAAATTTTAAAAGGTGACAAACATAGGTTTGCATTTATGACCCTGGGTAGCCAGCTGAATTCTGCTGGCCTGCAAGAAGCCACATGTCCCCACAATATATAGTTCTTGAAATCAAAAGCTTAATTCCCCTGAGTTGTTAGGATTGTAGATGCAACTAGTTTGTAGTTGTGAGCTGCCTACACACCAGAGTTTCAATCCTGGCTTTGCTACTTTTTCATTTGGTGTGGGTATTTACCTTTTCTGACCTCAGTTTCCTAATCCAGAAAATGGGAATGCTTATTTCTGAATTAACTCTAAACGGTTATGTTTCGCATGGGACCTGGCACACATTATTTTAAACAAGTAAAACAAAAACCCAAATTCACGGCCATCAGGTCAATTCTGACTTACGGTGACTCTAGAGGACAAGGTAGAACTGTACCTGTGGGTTTCCCAAACTGTACCACTTTATAGGAGTAGAAAACCTCATCTTTTTCTTGCAGAGCTGCTGGTGAATTCGAGCCACTGACTTCTGGGTTAGCAACCCAATGAGTAACCACAATACCACAAGGTCTCATGCATTATAGGACTTCAAAATTAAACCCCAAAAGATGCCTGCTCTCATCATCAGGGACAGAATGATCCATGTGACAAAATTGTCTAACTAATGGTCCTTTAGATGATCAGCCTTTTTATTTACAATTTTTATAGAAAATAGCAATGATTGACATAGCTCCTTATTGCCTCCATGTCTATACACTGCAATCTAAGTTTTTTTGGGTAAATTTAAGTTTTATCGTTTAGAAAATCACTTAAGAATCATACTATGCTCTAAAATAGCAAAACTTCACGAGAAATATATATACTTATATGTAAATGTGTATATATAGATTTGCATATAGATATGGATATATTCAAATTCAAGCTAAATGATACCAGCTTCCTGTGCTGTTTTGGGTGTGTGTCTGTTTTCTTTTTCCTGGTTGTCAGCACATTGCTGCCAGATTGTCTCCTTCAACTTGGGCACCTTCTCCTATGACGCCATTCTGTGGTAACTTCTCATCTGCTGTGAGATAGGAAAAGCAGATAGCCAGAATATTGTTCTAGAATTACATTTATCGTAAGAGAAAGGGCTCCAAGAGAGTTTGAGAGCAAGTGTCACAGGAGGCCTCTGAGCACAGAAACACTGTGAGTCTGTTGAGTGCATTTGTTGTAAGTCACAGTGACATTTGCTGTGTGCAGATGAAGCTTTTTTGGCTCTGCATTCGGGTATATGGTTGTGCTTCCCACCACTCGTCAAGATCACTCACTAGACCCTTCCCCTACCAGGCATAACTGCCTTCACTAATTGTGCTCTCAGGTTATAGTTCGGTTTGGGAGCGTCCACAGCAGTCGTGATTGCAAGAAAACCCCACTCCACACTCTTTATTCAACACTTAAAACATATGTATCAGATGTATACTATAGGCCAGTGACTACTCTAGGAGGTAGAGATGTAGCAGGGAACACAATAGACAATAAAATCAGAATCTACATAGAACTCACAGTCTACACTAGCTGTATGAAACCTCTGTGTCACAGAAATAAGTGTTAAAGATAAAAAGAAAATACTCTAATGAACTTTCTTTTTCTCATTTGAGATGGTTATTAGTTTTTCTAATTGTTACTGGTACACCAAACTTCGTTTTGCCAATTTATTATTCACTATAAAGTGAAAATTCTTAACTAGCACTGACTGTTCGGTTGAATGAAAAACGTTCGTTAAGTCTTTAATTTTTTTACTGATGTTTTGCTAAATAGAATTTTTGATTTATTTTTATCAAGAACTGCATTAAGGGAGCAAGAAAAACGCTCTAAGTATCTTCTCTAAAAAGAAATATCTTTGAATGGAAATCATTTGGTCTCTCTGAGTTGGAAGTGACTCTGTGGCAGTAGGTTTGGTTTTGACCATTGAGCTGATTCCAACTCACAGTGACTTTGTAGGGTAGACTAGAACTTCCTTACAGGGTTTCCAAAGCTATGGTTCTTTACAGAAATGGACTGCCACCTCTTTCTCCTGCAGAACGGCTGAGGGGTTCAAACAGTTTGATTAGTGGCTGAGTGCTTAACCACTGTCTCACCACGGACCCCTGGCAGTGAAATGGTAGAGTGCGCAGCATGAGCAAGAGCTATGTTTTCTTCCTATGTTAGCGCAGATATGCTTTCATTTTGCAGTCCTCCGCAGTTGAGCTCAAGATTTTAAAATTTATAAGAAGGTTAATACTATTTAATCAAATGAAAATTTCTTCTTTCTCGCTCATACCAGTCTTTTGTTGTGATGTGGTTTCCTGGCAGGGCTCTGAGTAGGGAGAGGCCTGAGATTAGCCATGAAGTGTTAGGTCGTGCTCATAGCAGTCATCTGGGGGAAAAGAGAATTCTGGAATGGGAAATGGGGAACTATTTCCCATTTCCCTCTCAGCCTTGCTTTCTTTGCTCTGGACCTCAGTTTAAATACATGATTGATGTTGGCTGGTAGGGAGTATAAGTTAGAAACTTTCATAATGTTCCATGAAGAAACTGTATTTCTGTTAACTAACTTAGGAACTTTCACCTATTAATACTTAGGGGACAGTCTAGCTAGCCAATCCAGCTTCCTTAAGAATACAATAGAACCTGAATTCTCAGAGGACGGATTCAAATACTGTGTGTGCTGTTAAATTATAATAGCTGCCAAAGGTGATACATCTTCCTAGAAATTGCTATACTAATAAGGAACTGGAAGGAAACTGGCAAGCATCCTTTTGGCATTTTGAGTGCTTTCAATGGCTTCAACATTGAGGGCAGTGATGGAAGGGAGGAAGAACGAGGGCAATGAAGGAGAGCTGGGAGAACGTGGAGAAAAACTTGTGGGAAAAGAGGCCCACTGGAGGCTTTGGAGTTAGCAGTGGTAGTGGCCACGCGTAGTAGGCCGTGCAATTCTGGAAGTATTAAAGGTAGGAGGCATGGCGTGAATATTGACAGAATACTTACTATGAAACAAAAGATCTAAAATCTTCATTGCCGGGGATCAGTCTTATTAAGCCATTCAGTCTTTTGGAGTACCTGCAGATCGAACAGAGATGAATTCCCTTTGCCATTTTCTATTCATTCTGCAAAATAATCTTTCGTGACAAACTAGTCCTTGAGCATCCAGAGACGCGCCCTGGAAGAACCCAGGAGGCGAGCTGGCCCTAGCACGCTGTCACTGTTTTGGCTCCCACACTGAGGAGAAGAGCACTTTGCCCAGCAAAGATCACGGCCTGCTCGTTTCATTATTCCTTTCTTGTCAGAAAGTCAAGCCTCAGAAAGTTAGAAAAGGAAATAGTGGGTTGAAGATTAAAAAGCGACTAAGATAAGCTGGTGAGTAGGTGGGATTGATTGATTGCCAACATAGTTAGCCAACCAATGAAAGGTAGTCTGTGAAAACAGCATGTGACATGTCTGGAGCTTGGAAGGTGGTCTAGGTCTTAGAGTATAGTAGGTGATAGAAACTATGGGAGAGGGGAATGGTGACAAGCACTCTCAGTTGAGTCTTTTTAAAACTTTATTTCTTTATGAATACGAACATTATTTTATTTAAAAAAACACTTATTGTACTTTGAGCGAAAGTTTACAGAGCAACTTAATTTTACACGCAACAAGTTATGCTCTTTTTGTTCATTTATTTCACGACATTGACTGCAACCCCCTAATTAACAACAGTCTTCTCCCTGCTTCTTTGGTTTAGTTTAGTCCCAGTCTGCTTTAGGTGCTGGACTGCTTCAAGTTGGGTTTTTTTAATCGTTTTGTTGGGCGCTCATACAACTCTTATCACAATCCATACATACATCAATTGTGTAAAGCACATTTGTACATTCATTGCCCTCATCATTCTCAAAACATTTGCTACGGCCGTACTACCCTGAACGCGCCCGATCTCGTCTGCTTCAAGTTTTAGATGCTATCTTACACTTCACTTCTGTTTCTCCATATTGGTGATAGCTCTCCAGCAAAAACTAACCCAGAATCAGCAACTCTGTAGGACAAGGTAGAACTGCCCCCGTCAGTTTCCGAAGCTGTAAATCTTTACCGGAGTAGAAAGCCCCTTTTTCTGCGAAGCCCATACTGGTTTCAAAGTTGCGTTTGCAGCCCGACTCTCATAACCATTATGCACCACGGCTTCTTGAGGGGCAGGGGGCCTTAAAACTTGCACAGTTGTAACCTTATACCTACACATAGTGCCTAGACCCTGATTGATACTGAGTGAATGACTGGATGAATGACTGTGAAGTCTAGATTAATATACTGTTGCTCCAGCTGAGTGGGAG